TCGTTGTCTTATTGCTAATTAAATAATTAATTATTAACTTAAGCATTGTTGGTCGCAAGCCGCCTCCCTTTCGGCCGCTCGGCTTTAACTAATTCGGCATCTAAAGCTAGCGAGCATCTGTTTTGCCTATTATAGAAGTTTGGCGTCACTCACGTTCGTTGTCTTATTGCGCTCGCAACCTAAATTGGATTTCACACATATATATAGATCCCAATTTCATATGCGGCCAAATAAAGATTTTTTAAATGTGCAGAAATGTGTAACAAAAGTAGTTGTGTTTTTAACCAGGTGAAGTTACTTATAAATATATAGGAATTCGAATTTAATTGGTCTTCTTTGCTGGCTTTTGCTCGTTTTCGAAAAAACGGTACTTTTCAGTGTCATATGAATTTATGCGTTCTGAGCTTCTGGAAATATGGTCCAAAAACAATCGATGTAATGCTGCAGTAAACGATTTCATTTTAGAAAAATTGGGCAATATCCGGAGCATTAGAACCGAAGTTGTAGCTATTTATAGCGCACTACCTGCACATCAAACTTGAACAAACTTGAAACTTTAAACGCGATTATCTCAGATTGTTTTTTCAAAATTACCTTCGCGGTGGACACGATTACTAAAAAACTATTAATCCGATCAACAACAAATTTTGACCACTTATTTATTATGATATTAGCTAGTCAATACAATATACCAACGAAATTTTTTAAATCGATTTCGATTTCGGATGAACCGTTTACCGGTCCACCGCAAGACACAATCGAAAAAAAAACGATCTTGGAATTCGGCTATAACATTTTTATTATTTAATATTTTTATGAAAAAATTTAAATAAGTACCCAGAAACATGTACTAAACAACGTCAGTATAACATTTTTAATAAATATTTTTTATGGTGTCAAAAAAAATCGATAAAATTTCATTATTTTGCGCGGTACAACTGTATATGTATAACCCCTTAAAGGAAAAAGTTATTAATGCGGTTAAACATTTTATTGGACATATTAAAAAATACCTGCCAAAGTACAATCGATTGCTAGTCCACGCACACTGGCTCTCACAGAATATAATAATTGTACTGGACAATGCGGTAACTGGGACTCCATCACCGCCTAAAGAAGGTCGTCCTACTCTTAGCTATAATGAGGCTGGAGCTCGGTTAAAAAGAAAGTTGGCATCATTGCAGCAGAAAGTGTTGGACATGAGAGAGACCTTCTACTTCATGCTGCAGCTGTTGCCGCTAAAAAATTTCGTCACCCAATCCGAAGAGACAACATCTAAGATATCTCCAGATGAAGCTCTGGCATATCTCCTATAAAATTCTCTGACAAAAAGGCAATATATTAATACTGCTTTGCTAGCCAATAGTCGTAGCTTCAACGTATTTCCAAGCTACAAGAAATTAGTAGAGGCTAAGGATTAATGTCGGCCAAATGGAATAAATATAACTGAAACGGTTGCGCAAGTACCACTGCAATGTTTATTGGATCACACAGAAAGTTGTTTAATTTTATTGCAGAAAGATGTTTTAGAACAGTATCCGGACATGAATGAGCTGAAATTAATTGCTAGCTATGGCTTTGATGGGCAGGGAATATGGAGAAAACAAAGTTTATGGTGTGTTCTAACAGAGAATCGCGGCGTCTTGATTCTCAGCTGACTGCAACCTATAGCTTTGGGTCCGTCAAGGAGTTTATCTACCTAGGCCCTGCTATAACAAGCACAAATGATGTCAGTCTGGAGATTAAGCGGAGAACAACACTTGCCAACAGGTGTTACTTTGGGCTCAGTAGACAGTTCAATAGTAGAGCTCTCTCTCGACGCACAAAAACCACACTCTACAAGACGCTCATTCTTCCAGAACTCCTATATGGTGCGGAGTGCTGGACAGTGACGCAGACAGATGCAGCTGCTCTTGGAGTGTTCGAGAGGAAAATTCTTCAAAAAATCTTTGGTCCAATCTGCGTAGACGATGTTTATCGCATCCGATACAACCACGAGCTGTATGAGCTGTACGGTGATGTTGACGTAGCCAGTCGAGTGAAATCTCAAAGACTTCGCTGGCTGGGCCACGTTGCCCGTATGGATGAAGACGCTCCGGCTCGTAAGGCGTTTGATGCGGTGATTGTTGGGACACGAAGGAGAGGACGACCCCGAACGTGTTGGCAAGACCATGTGATGGAAACCTTGTTCACACTTGGGGTTATCAACTGGCGAAGGCGCGCTCAGGACAGAGACGCGTGGAGGCACAATGCGCTTCAGGCCGAGACCCGATAAAAGTGTTGTCATGGCCATATAATAAATAATAATGGCTTCGATGGGTCTACTGGACAGACAATTCACATGCAAAGCTTCAAAGAACATCAAGATCCCATTATTGATCAATCATTGTTTGTCACGTCGCTAATACCTATTAAACTTATAGATAAGTATTATAGACTTATTTGAAAGAAATGTATGGGTAAATGCTACACCACAGTCTGTTCGATTTTGCAGGCTCGTGACAATAGAATTCACCAAAGAAACGCCAACTCATATAGTTGCCGAAAAGTCGGGTCTTGACAGACAAACAAAGGCTTTAATTCCTTTCGAATACGAAATTGATAGCAATAAAAAAGTCACAATTACTTATGAACTATGTATAACTTTAATAAATGGCAAAGTTCTAAACGTTTTAACGGAAACAAAATCCACACAATGCTGTCCATTATGTGGATCAACACCAACACGATTTTTAACGGACAAAAATTTGAAATCAAATACCTTCAAATTAAAACCATGTTCTCTTCAATACGGTATAAGTCACCGCATGGATCAGACTTTTCGAACATGTTTTAAATGTGTCATACAGAGTTGGAATAAATAAATGGCACATTAAAGATACGAAGCACAAAAAATGTATGGCAGCCCGCAAACTGAACATAAAGAAGAAATTATTTGTTGAAATTGGAATTGTTGTTGGTATGGCAAAACAAAATGGAAGCGGGAATTCCAACGATGGCCACACGGCCCGCAGAGCGTTCTCAAATGCTGTAGTTTTTGGCTCTATTTTAGATTTCAATCATGAAGTTCTTCACAATTTCCATATCATACTTATAGTTTTGTCAAGTAAATATAAAATTTCTGTCGAAAAATTTCAAAATTTCTCCAATAGGGCAGCAGGAGAAATATGCTGGCTCAAGGATCACAAATTATTGAAGCTTCTGTGGTTCCGGGTGATTCTTTGGGTGAAAATGCTTCAGAATCGCGCAAATCATACAAGACAGATCGCCTATCCCATTCCAGGAAAGACAGTAGAATTCATAGCATAACAGATGTGTTTAACAGAGCTTTGGACTCATCGGATCCTTTGTTATCCAGCTTTGCATTGCTGAACCAAATAAAGTAAAGATGTTACCTAAAGAAGTATTAAGCCTACTATAAGAGCCGAAAATAATGGACGCATCAAATACGTACAGCGACACAGATACTGACGAAGATAGCGAATAAAATTAGTATAGTATATCTATATACCTACTTAATAATAATATATAACAAATACACATGTATATATAGATATTTAAGTCATTCCTGAAGTAAATGTAAATCTATTTTTTAAATTCAGCGTCCTACGTAATTTCTACTAATAATACGAGGGGTATTCAAAAAGTAAGTTTCCCTAGTCTGGCGTTTCTCTCAGACGCCACCTACCGGACTCTAGCTGAACATAGTTTCAGTGTAGATTCTACCGATAAGAGCGGAATTGGTTTTGTTGGCCAAGAATACTTTTTTCAGCAGTACGAGCTCAATAATCATGGAGTTACCAGTGCAAAGCGTGTCCGATTGTGAATTACGTTCGGTTATTCGTTTTTTAACTGCAAAAGGGTTAAACGGTAATGAAATTCACAGTGAATTGGTGTCTATTTATGGTGAAGACTGTATGAGTGTGCAGAAGGTGCGAAGATGGCGCACAGATTTTCTCAACGGACGCGCAGAAGTGCACGCAGCGTGCCGGACGCCCAAAAAGCGCCATTACGGACGATGCGATTGCAGCGGTTGAAAACATTATTCAGGAGGACAGACGATGGACTATTGACTATATTTTGGAAATGATGCCTCCTAAATGTCAAATTCACCGAACTTCAGTCCAGCACTTCGTTTCAAATGACGAAATCAAACAAGTCGTCAAATCGTGGATCAAAAAACAGAGCACGGAATTTTTTAAGGAAGGTTTACTTAAGCTTTCACACGGATACCAAAAATGTATTGTAGTCCAAGGCGACTATGTAGAAAAATAGTTTAAGAGTCAAAGAATAAAATAAATTTACTTTTACTGCCTAAAACTTGTTTTATATTTTTCCCCCAACACAGGGAAACTTACTTTTTGAATACCCCTCGTTCTACGAATGGGTTTGTATGGGAGGCAATAGAAGGCGTGGTCGCGCAGACTCCACGTTTTTTTTACATACTTATCTTTCTAAAAAACCACAAGGTGCAAAACACAATTGAGGTCTTTAACTCTATTTTTAGAATTAATGCCACAAAAATCGACCTCGGGAACCATACTGCATTGGTAAAAATTTGCACACTTTTAGTCCCTCTTTAGCCCCCTCTTTAAGCCATTCAGGTAAGTAAGCATCTATGATTGAAGCTTTATAACAGTGGTCGGCAGGGACTTATTCCAGTGGCATAAATAAAACCCGAGCTCTTCCTCTTACAAACAGTATAAACAGCAGCCTACTTTCTGCTTTTCGTTACTAATACTAATGCATTAAAGTCATATCAATGTATTAAGTGCCGACCACTGTTTTATCTGATATTTGCGATGTATATCGGATCTTAACTCCAGGTCATATAAACCTCGGCTCCGCCCGGAGCTAGCTTTCCTTTCTTGTTTCAATTCAAAATAAAATGTTTTATTGTCTATTATAAAAAGGTTAAATGCTCAGGAGTAAAATTGGTGCCCCCTACAAAAAATTTATTACGTAAGATTGTACTCAAATCTTTTTTATTTTATTTTCAGATTCAATCTGCGTTGCGACCGCTTCTGTTAAAACTAGGAGACCACAGAAATTTATCCATACCGGCAATAAAGCGCTTATCCTACTTTACGCAACTATTTCCACAAATGTTTAATGAAAAACTCAGTGAGCAAATTTTTCAACATTGTACAAAAATTATAGAATTATTTCTTGGAGATTATAAGAGTTCAAATTCTATTGTGAATTTTTTTTCATCATCGAGAGGTGGAGAATATGAGCAAAAAATTGTGACCTTAATCGACATGTTTTGTCATATATCGGTATCACCAAAATATATTGAAAAGTTGTGTCAGCTTGTACTCAAAACAGAATATGTTTTAATGATTGAAGCATCAAGTCCATATCGAGGAGCTCTGGTTAAATTTCTTCTAAGGTTTCCTGCGGAAACTGTGGATTTATTTTTAATGGAATCCATTATGACTGATGCACAATGGAATAGATTTTTTATATATATCTTAAAGCACGAAAACGGGGCGTCATTTCGAACGGTTATAAAAAATAATAAGTATAATATATTAATAACTTATTTGAAATGCAGTTCGGAAATTCAAATACCACAAAAATATGAAATACAACACCAATCAGTTTTAATTATTTTCACTTTAATGGAATTGGATGATCAGTGGATTCCAACACGACAAGACATCGTAGACGTTTTAAAAACAACGTGGCAAGGCCATTTATCTTCCACATGCGCTGACAACGTAGTTTGTGATTTATGGCATTTAATTGGAAAAATTCTGTTGCTATATTTTTCAAACAATACAAATGAAATTGATTTACTTTTTCAATTATTAAGGGCACTTTGTTTTCGATTTATACCTGATGTTCATTTCTTAAGAGATTTTTTACAAAACACAGTTGCACAAAGTTTTACAGTCAGTTGGAAACGAAATGCATTTTTCCACTTTGTTGAAAACTTTAATAATAATGCAATCTCAGAAGAATTAAAAGCCAAAATTATTACATCAGTGATAATTCCATGTTTTACAGTAAGCTTTGATAAAGGTGAAGGAAATAAACTTATTGGCGCCCCTCCAACCCCATATCAGGAAGATGAAAAAAATATTGTTTCTGTATTTATTAATAAAGTATTTGACCCTGACAAACAATATGAGGACTCTGTTAGAATTGCTCTTTTACAACTTGCGTGTTTATTGGTGGAGCGTGCCTCCCAACATATACATGATGGAGATGCTAATAATAAAAGGCAAGGTAATAAGCTTAGACGACTGATGACTTTTGCTTGGCCTTGCTTACTAAGTAAAAACTCGGTTGACCCAACTGCCAGATATCATGGACACCTATTACTTGCTCATATAATTGCTCGATTGGCAATTCACAAAAAAATAGTCTTGCAAGTATTTCATTCCTTATTAAAAGGACATGCTTTAGAGGCCCGGTCTATAGTTAAACAAGCCTTAGATGTTTTAACCCCAGCAATGCCTTTACGAATGGAAGACGGAAATACTATGCTGACGCATTGGACTAAAAAAATTATTGTGGAAGAAGGTCACGCCATGCAACAATTATTTCACATTTTGCAACTTATAATTCGTCATTATAAAGTAAGAATCAAGTTTTTGCTTAAAAATTAATAATTTATAATAAATTATAATTTTACTTTGTAGGTTTATTTTCCGGTCAGACATCAACTTGTGCAGCATTTGATTAATTATATGCAACGCTTAGGATTTCCTCCTACTGCATCTATTGAACATAAAAAATTAGCTGTGGACTTAGCCGAAGTAATAATAAAGTGGGAACTTCATCGAATCAAAGAAGATGAACGAGAAGCGAAAGTTTTATCTGAAGAAGAAAGTTCCATTAAACGATCTGGAATTGATGCGGCTGAGCAGCGAAAGAAGTCCTCTGATAACATTAGAGAAACTGTTCCGCAAGGTAATCAAAAGTATTATATGTTTTGAGAGTGAGAGTTTCAAATAGATGCCATAATGACAAAATACCGAATTTGGAATGGCACCGTTGAAAATGACTTGGGATGAAAAAGAATTCAGAGTCGAGAACAAGAGAGTGATTGATTAGGTCTAGTTGGTCTTATATGTTCTAAATTATATCAGTTCGACAGAACACATTTATCTTCTCATATTCAGTTCGCGTCGATTAGTTGAATTAACACATACACCCTTCACGAGCCATTGAAGAGATAATATTTTGAAAGCGTTTATTAAATAAAAAAAAGTTGTTTAATTTGTATATACTTGAATTAGAAATTACAATATTTTGGTCATAAACGTGAAACGCTTGGAAAGATGTATGTATATTTTTCAGGGATATATATCAGAATCTGCTCCTATGTGAATGTAAGCATGTCCGTCTGTTCGAAACGGACCGACATATAAAAGCGTATAAGGTATTTTATTGAAGAAATTTTAGATCTGGAATTTCATAAATAAGCAGATATAAAGTAGGGTGACCAGATAGCTGAGGTGGAAAATACGGACACCACCGTTTTCTCGTTTCCATACTTTTCAAGTTTTCGAAAACAAAATTGTTCAGTTCCTTGCTCCATTGAATATTAAAAAGGTAAAAAAACGCGTTCGCAATTTGCGTTGTGACAGGGAATCGCAAAGAAATATTGAGCAATTTTGAGTATTTCAGAACATGATTCAAGACAACTGTTAGCAGAAAAAAAATATGACTTTTTCATTGCTACTTTTTTTGAAAAAATTATCTCTTGCTTCTTTTTCTTGCTTTTCTTTTTCATTCATACATTTTTTTAAATTAACAAACTGGTCAAATAATTTTGAATCATCAATTTGAATATTTTTGGATGCGAGAAATGCAACAGATTTTTCAACAGATTCATACCTCAAATCTTTTCCTGGCTTGAAATTTAACCATTCGAAGTCTTCCAAACGACGGAATGACTGGCTCCATTTCAGCAAATAATCACAAGATCTTTCATACACTACAAGCATGGATTCTGTAAAGTTTTGACACTCAGTTTCTTTACCTTCATTTGTTAGCTTTTGCATTTTCTGCTTGACTGCGAATGGTATAAATTTCGAATTAAGTCTTTCAGTCAAAGTCTCCGATACTTCGTCTATGATTTGCAAAACTTCTAGAACAGAATTGTCTTCGCGTTCGATGCTTTTGATTCTATTGTGAAAGACATTCATAAGTGAACTTATAAACAGCAATTTCAATTCCGCAAAATCATCTTTGAAAAAACTCCCTAAAATAATTGGCGGATGGTCAGTGGATAAAAAAAATGATTTCAGAGCTGGATAAATTTGTGAAATTCCATCAACGCTTGGCTTGAGGGTTTGCCATCGTGTTTTGCTGTGAGATAGCAGTTTCCTGTACTCCACGTCAACGAAATCGCAAAAATTCTTTAATTGATTTGTCCGAACAGTGTAAATCGAGAAGTGATTGAAAACCGATCTATACCATGGTGAGCTGAATTGTTCATGACATGGCCTGAACACCCAATGCCAATGATATTTTGGTTGATTTCACGCCTTAAATAATTCAATACGTTTTCTCCTTATTTGTTTCTCAGTCAAAACATGTTTATCCAATTCACTTTTTATCATGTTAGCAATAGTTTGAGGTTTTTCATCAAACTTTTCTTTGATATTTAACAATTTGACAACTATCCCTCCTTCAGCAGGATCAAAATATTGGACTATCAATGGGAACATTTTCAAATTACCATGATTACTCGAATCAGTGCCTATACTAAAGAAAGGTGTCTTTTACAAATCTTGCACTACCATTTCAATGGAATGAACAGATAGAACCTGATTTACAATAGCTTCGGTTTTTGTACGTCCGCAAGAAACATTTTTTCCTGCATGAGAATCGCCAAAGAGTGAGCGAATGAGTTGACTTGTGCAGTCCATGGATATGTAGCTTTGATGATGTTTTATGGTGTGGTATGCCAAAGTTCCTTCAGCCGCCCAAACTGCATGTGCCTCTGTTGCTGATTTTTGATAAGTGAAGTCCAAAATGGAACGCGAAGTAGATGCGTCTTGCACTTTTTTTGAATGTTTTGGTGTAGCGAGATATTTTTCCAGATCACGTGTTCCTACAATTTCACAAGAGCAATCAGGCGATATTTCATGAAAAAAGAAAAAATAAAAACCACTATTTGCAACTGACACCTTACAATCACAAACAATGCAATCAGCAAAATATGCAGATTTATTTAAAAAACTACGAGAATAAGTTTTTCTCAACTCCTCTGTAAATGTTCACTTGCGTTTGGTTGAATTCGGCGTGGTTTTCAAGCGTTTGTGATCGGGTGACTCGGACATTATGCCGTGTTAATTGTCACAAGCTTGTTGTCCCCGTCGGGTATCACGTTAGATTTTGCTTTACCGAATTTCGCGTTGAAAACATTCAGACCATTCGATTACTTGAAACCTGAACTTCCAAAATCTGCAACAACAAGAACACTTTTTTTTTACAATAAAGCTCTCAACTAATCTAATCGTAATTAGCGTTTATAAAACATTCAGAATACTTACGAGTTGGTTGTTTTGTTACAGATTGACTGATTGAGAATAAAAAAGTCAGCTGTTACAGAAATACACAAAACAACACTATAAGCAATGTACATATGTACGCGACAGTCCGAATAACCAGACGCAATCGTCCCATATTTCTAGGGAATTTTACCGTATAACGCGTGCTAAACTGATTGCGCGTCCTCTACGTCAACTGTGAGCGCGGGCGCTTTCGAATGTTTAAGTCTAGAAACTCATTTCGGAAAAATTGCAGGTGCAACCTGTTTTTTCGTCAAAAACGCGAAAAATACGGAGATTTTACAAAAAAATACGGACTAACGGACACAGAGCTGAAAATACGGACATGTCCGTATTAATACGGACGCCTGGTCACCCTAATATAAAGTAGCTGCGAAAAAAGTAGCACCACTGGCAAGGAAAATGTTTAAATGGTCACTGTACATATATTTTTAACTTTAGACTCTTTAGTTTAGAGCAGTGGTGGGAAAACTTTCCTTTCGCATAGCACGTGTGCATCGGGTCGGAAGCGCTGCCGGCTCCCTGATAGTGTGAGCACTTTCTCATTTGCTCCCATTTTGCCTCATTTGAAAGCCCAAACTGAAAAATCTAAATGTTCCCACTGAGAAAAATTTTCTCAGAAATTGAGTTTCTCCATAGAAAATATAGTTAGGGAAGCGCAGATTTCCACTTGTTTAAGAACTGTTGCTAAAAAAACTTTCTTTAAAATAAAAAACACTATTTTAGTGCCCATTTCAACTTTTTAATTAACGAAAAATTAAATCAAAAACTACGTTTTTTCGTTCAGTGAATGCACTTCTCTCATTGTTTTTTTCTGCTACGCATACATTTAAATTTTAAACATGTGTGCGTGTTGCCCCCTATTCCCTTCAGTACCAAAATTCCTTACCCCGACGTTTCCTGGCGACATGTTCGAAAAACAAAAACAATTTGGGCTTCGTTTACTCAAGTCCGAAACGAAAAGGGAAACGAAACTTCTACCTGCTTTCGGTTTTCGACAATAATTTTCGCAGCTTCTACGTCATAGTTTCGGAGCAGAGGCACGCGATAGAGAGACAATTAGAGAGATGTAGATGGAGGGAAGGGAGAGAAAAAAAATCGGTGTCGAAAACCAAATGAATGGAAGCGACGTCAGAATACCCTTTTTAAAATATGTTGAAATATTTATATATATTATATTTAATTAATTTTTCTTATCTAATCAAATGGTATATTGAAATGTATTAATAATTGGCTTTAGGCAAAGCCAAAATGTTCATGTTTGATTATTTTCCTTGTGCGATTCTAATTACAAGGCATTGCGTTGGTCGACTATACCCTGGCACGCGCCAGAACTATCGGTTGTCAATTTTCGGTTTCGTCTTGCCTCTCCCCTTCTCTTTGCATTTGATGTTCAATTTGCATAAAAGCTACACGCGTTTGTTTGTTGCGTTTGAAGTTAAATTTTAAAAAAAAACATTTAAGTGAACTGGTGATAATAACTAATTCTGGTGAGTAGTGCATATAATAAACTTATTTATTAGCAAGGCCACCAGCAATGCTGTCATTATGGAATTCCCAATACCCACCGACGAGGCATTGGCAGCGTTAGAATTCGCCTTAGGCCGCGGCATGAAGCAAGAATGTGTAAGTATAATATTTATAAATTAAATATAAAAAAATGTTTAATACCTATTAATTTTTGCAGACCACCGCACAGTGGTTGGGCTTGTATTAAGCCGCGGCCATAAGTACTTCTAGTTCAGATATTGTAACGAAATTTACACCAAAAATCTAAAAAAATATTTGAAATGCTTAGTAAAAAAATTGGCCATATCGTACGACTATATCATATAGCTGCCATAGGAACGATAGGATAGAAAACTTTTTTGATTTTCAAGATATGTAAACCAAACTTACAAATTTTATGCGTGTGGCCAGTTTTATATATGCTTGCCAAACATAGTCCAAATCGGAAAACTATATCATACAGCTGTCACAGCAAAAATTGTAAACTTAATTAAGTACCAGTTTCAAGTAATATTCAAATACTTTAATAATAATACACTTTTGTAAACAAATTAGACGACATATCAAATAAAATAAAAAAACATAAATTAAATCAAAAAAACAAAGAAAACATAATAGTTAATCAAATTCTTCTAACAAATCTAAAGTTGATTTCTTTAAATTGGACTTAAATTTGCAAGGTAATTTCCTTAGTCCTGTAATAAATGGATCAGAAGACAAAAGTAGTCTGATAATCAACTTGATTAATATTGCATAATTGTAGTTTTCTTCCGTTTGTATCTATTTCAAAAAGTAGCAATTCTTTTGCATATGCAATCAATTCGTTTTGGTAGTTGGCTTAGCTCGGGAATGTATCCGTTGTTTTCCATTTGCTCTTGCATAACTTCAATATTTTTTTTTAATCTTCCAGCGTTGGTGCCACCTTCTGCACACCAAAGATTAAAAATATATAGTCGTGTAAATGCACACTTATGGGAAACTCCTAAAAAGTGATATAAGTAAATAGAAATATTTCAAAAACATTACAAACACGAGCAACGAGAACAAAACAAAAGCACAATAAGGAAAAACTTCCCCTTGGCAAATGCTAGATAGCATCAGTATTTTTCCGATTATATTAACATCTGCAAATTTCTGCAGCTGATTTTAGGCATACAGTACCCTAAAAGTCAGACGAACACATTAACATACATACTATTTGTGGGATTTCGTGGGACCACAACTAAAACTTTATCTAAACATAAAAAAGACGTTCACAAAAAAGACAAAAAAGGGTAAATAGATGTAAAATACAGAACAAAAAATTTAATTAGTCAGATAAATTTCATAAAACCCATTTATTAAAGATAATACATTCAACTTTAAAATGCATTTTAAATAATTAAATTTGGTGAATTTTTGCGAACGTCCGACCACTTTGAACTTAACTTTTGTTTTGACAAAAAGCTCACTAACGTAGCTGCAGCAGCAAAATTGAACACGTGTTCACACTTTGCATTCTATTTTTAGAATGTCCCGTTAGATTTCCGGAAAAAAATAGCTTGCAATGACAAAATGTGGTCAATTTAGAGACAAATTATTTACATTTTGAATAATTATTTTCAAGTCTTTTTTTCGATTTATGGCCTACGGGCGCAACCACTGTGCACCGCAGTGACGAATATATTGAAGCGCGGACCCCTTACCAAGTCGTTAAAATATATTTTCGTGGTGGACCTGATCGTCCAGTACAATATTGACAGAGTAAGTGGGAAGAAGAGATTAAAGGCGTTTCCAAATTTTTATTGAGTTTAGATTGGTATGTATTTTAATTACAAATAATGTAAGCAATATCTAATTTCTATTTATTTTATTTACAGATAGTATATCTATGGTGGATCCGGGGAAATCGCCGGAGAAAGTGTTGGGGCACGCTTTGACTTTTATAAAAAATAATAACAATAAAAAACAAAAAAAAATAAATAATTAGTAATTAGTAATAATAAATAAATAATAAAAATAATTTGTAATAATAATAATAATAAAAATAATAATAATTTTTAATTTTTTTGAATTCTTTTTTATTGAATGGGAAAAAGGGGGGGGGTGAAATTCCTTACAGATTCCTCACGGTATACCCCAGGGATTCCCTGGGGTATTTCCTCAAAGATTCCTGAGAGTATACACCAGGGATTCCTTAGGGTATTTCCTCAAAGATTCCTGAGAGTATACCCCATGGATTCCTTGGGGTATTTCCTTAAAGATTCCTGAGAGTATACCCCAGGGATTCCCTGGGGTATTTACTTCCAAATGCTCTTCGAATAACTGCAGGAATCCTGCAGTATTCCTTGAGTTGTTCGAATTCCTCGATGCGAGGAACTCTTCTATGGAAATTCCTTGATGGTTTGTATGAAACATACCCCGAGGATTCCTTGGGTGGCAATACTAGTACCTAGACGTTTCCTTCAGTAATCCTTGAGGTATGGTACTGAAGGGTTGCTTTAGAACAGTGGTCGCATCAGTATTAGTATAGCAGAAAGCAGAAAGTAGGCTGTGAGCATGAGCTCCCATACCAAACACACACAGGCTAAATGTGTGAAACGTCATGCTCACTTTCTGCAATTCTTTAATAATACTGAAGCGTTAAAATCATATCAGTGTACTAGGGTGTCGACCACTGCTTGACCACAGTTGACGAACAACTGCCAGCCTTGTCGGGTATAATTTTACCCTGAAGGTAAAATTAATTACCTGATAGGTAACGAAAATAACCGGGGTCAAAGTAAAAAAAAAATGGTAAGTACATATTGAAAGCCTGCCTAATGTTTTGATAGATTGTCCTGTGGGTAAAAACCTGCTGCTGGTTCTTGTGGCGGGAGCAGCACGCTTAGGATATTTGGTTAAGGGGATCCTGCTGGAATCCTACCGTAGTTACCGTAGTACCATACCTTATTTATTATACTGAGTAACAAACCATGTTCGATCGTTGTTCGATACTAACTTATAGCACTAACCATATAGCGTATAGACTACCCATTTCATAAAACGAAAATAGACGCAAAAATTTCTTGCGTCAGGCTCCAGAGCGAGATCTTACTCTATTTTTACGCTCACCTTTCGTGAGCGTTCATCTTACGCTCATATTGTCATTAAACGCTTTCTGTTTTTCAGTCTCTGAAAGGAGCACGATGAAGAAGGTTGCGCTTCGATTGATCTTTGTATGTATGCGTGTCATAAATTCACAAACACACATACACGGTGTGCGTGCGCTCTCGTTTCGTAGCCTATTACAATTTTTGATTTTTCTAACTTTTAATGCTTGCTACCCTAAGGAAATTCGGGTATTCGTTATAAAGTGAAATAACTAAAGAAATTATTTATTAGCGTTTTAGTTTTTGTGGTTCTGCATATGAATTGTGCTTGCATACCCTACCGATGGATGATTTTTAGGGGACCGGACAGCAATCCGGACCGGACCGGAGCAAAGCCTTCTCCTGTTCTGCATCGGACCTCTAGTGTTCAGCAGAATCTTCTGCAATTCTTTAATAATACTGAAGCGTTAAAATCATATCAGTGTATTAGGGTGCCGACCACTGCTTTAGAGCAGTGATGCCCAAGCTCTGCATACGGAAGACCAAACTCCCATACCAATGCAAAAATCATCTATACATTGGTGCGAGAATTTTTTTCCCATCCTCTCAGTTTTAAAGCTATCGGCTTGAAACTTTGCTCACACCTTTCCTTTGCACGCAGTATAAAAGTCGGAACGGCAAGGATCGGCCGACTATATCATATAGCTGCCATATAACTGATTGATCGGAAATAGTATAAATTTGGTATTTTAAGAATTAGAGAGTATGAATGCTAATTTTGTATTTTTGTTTTGTCGGATTTTATATGAATGCTATATTTGGCAAAATAATATGACGTACCCAATTTCATAAGGATCGGCCGACTAAATCCTATAGCTGCCACATAACTGAACGATCGGAAATGAACCAACTTTCGTATTTTTTATATAGAAAGATGGTACTTCGTACAGATTCTATTTTCGGTCAGTTCATCCGAGCTCTCAAATTTCAACCGATATCTAATAGTGGCCGTATAACTAAACGATTGGAAATGGTATTTGGTATTGGTAAAAAGTTAGAACCTCGTGACTTTTTTTTTTTTAATTTTGTATTGTTATAAATTAGTTTCTTATAAGGATCTGCCATCTACATATATCCGATGCTTGCGATATATGTTCGGTTTTAATTTGTATTTTGGTATATCAAGGGTTTATTAACCTCGGCTTCGCTCGAAGTTAGCTTACCCTTCTTGTTCAATTTTGTATTCTACTCGTAATAAATTGGTTTTATAATAAAGTTCTCATAACATCGGCCAACCATATCCGACATTTGTGATTCATATCCGATCTTAACTACGTGTTAACTCCGCCCAAAGTTAGCTCTCCTTTCTTGTTTTTTAACCATATTCGATATATGTGCCTTAAGTTAGTTACTAAAATTAACTTATTTATTTCGTTTGGTTTTTTTTATTTATTCTAACAGGTTCTGGGACTTATTCTAAAACTGAAGACATTCTTCGATCTATTGATAAGTCCTATTGTGATACTGTATTAAATTTTTTAATTCGGTTGGCTTGTCAGGTTAACGATCCTCAACCTGGAGTTATTTCCCCTGGAGAAAGTTTATCTAGAAGGTAAAGTAAAATTATATACAACAAAAAATCCATGACTTATAATGTAGCTTAATTTTAATTTTTATTGTAGTTTTAAATATATTTATTATTAAAAATTGATCATGATAATCGATATATAATGACGTTGTCTTATAAATGTCAAAGAATATTCCCAAATTATATTAGGCATTGCAGCGCATGCGCTTTTAAATTGTTTGAATTTTAATTTAAAGAGGATTTTCTCTAGAGAAAAGAAACAAAATAGGAAGTTTAAGGGCGGATAAAAATACTATCAACATTCGAGTTGACGAACAACTGCCAGCATTGTCGGGTATTATAATTTTACCCTGAAGGTAAAATTAATTAGCTGATAGGTAACGAAAATAACTGGGGTCAAAGTAAAAAAAAAATGGTAAGTACATATTGAAAGCCTGCCATATGTTTTGATAGATTGTCCTGTGGGTAAAAACTTGCTGCTGGTTCTTGTGGCGGGAGCAGCACGCTTAGGATATTTGGTTAAGGGGATCCTGCTGGTAATCCTACCGTAGTTACCGTAGTACCATACCTTATTTATTATAATGAGTAACAAACCATGTTCGATCGTTGTTCGATACTAACTTATAGCACTAACCATATAGCGTATAGACTACCCATTTCATAAAACGAAAATAGACGCAAAAATTTCTTGCGACAGGCTCCAGAGCGAGATCTTACTCTATTTTTACGCTCACCTTTCGTGAGCGTTCATCTTACGCTCATATTGTCATTAACCGCTTTCTGCTTTTCAGTCTCTGAAAGGAGCACGATGAAGAAGGTTGCGCTTCGATTGATCTTTGTATGTATGCGTGTCATAAATTCACAAACACACATACACGGTGTGCGTGCGCTCTCGTTTCGTAGCCTATTACAATTTTTGATTTTTCTAACTTTTAATGCTTGCTACCCTAAGGAAATTCGGGTATTCGTTATAAAGTGAAATAACTAAAGAAATTATATTAAATTTTTAATATTTCAGCGTACATTTTAAATTTATTTATGAATGAGATTAGGTGTTAGCAGTAAAATGTTTTGCATATATGTACATATTTTTACGAATCATTAAAAACAATATAATGAGAAAGGAGCAGGGTATATTTCAGCGACATCACTTAAAACGCCGATAGCGTTTTAGTTTTTGTGGTTCTGCATATGAATTGTGCTTGCATTCCCTACCGATGGATGATTTTTAGGGGGCCGGACAGCAATCCGGACCGGACCGGAGCAAAGCCTTCTCCTGTTCTGCATCGGACCTCTAGTGTTCAGGAGAATCTTAGCTAGGCCCCTGGTACAGGCTGAGGCCTTACCCTGGATGTACTCCAGTTTTTTTAATTTACCTTTAATTTTAAGTAAAAATATTTTACACCTTTTACATTGCTATCCTTTTTTATTTCTATTGCAGGTGTATTATGCTTTTAAAAATGGCAATGCGACCAGAAATTTGGCCCCAACCTTTCGATATAAAATTGAACTGGCTTGATAAAGTTCTCGCATCAGTAGAAACACCTCATCACAATTTAAATAACATATGTACAGGAATAGACTTTTTAACATTTTTAACTACAATATTAAATTCGGAACAGTTAGTGTCAATAATACGACCAGTTCAACGTGGTCTTTCATTATGTATTATACATCAAAATACACGTATCGTTCGATTAATACATATTTTTCTAACACGATTGATGGGTATTTTCCCGCCAGATGCGCAACATAAATATGACGATCTTGATATCTTGTACAGCGCAATTAGCAAAATGATAACTGATAACTTAACATTCTATGAAAAAAGTCCCCAACCAAACGCATCTTCATTGTTCGGTACTTTAATGATATTAAAAGCATGTAGCACAAATAATCCCACCTATATCGACCGAATTTTAGTACAATTCATAAGAGTTTTAAATCGTCTTACAAAAGATCATATCAATAGCATTAATGGCAATAATGTTAATTCCCAACAAGCAGATTCGAATTCTTTGGCGTTGGAGCTCTTGGTACTTTCTTTGGAATTAATCAAAAATCGCATTTTTATAATGAGTGTAGAAATAAGGAAGCTTTTCATAGGAACAATTTTGGTGAGCCTCATCGAAAAAAGTTCAGAAGTAAAAGTTATAAAATGCGTTATTAAAATGTTGGATGATTGGATCAAAACTAAAGAATCGAATATTGTTTCGCACGTGCCATCTTTACGAGAAAAATCGGCATTGTTGGTTAAGCTAATGCAAAATGTAGAAAAAAAATTTTCTGATGAAAACGAACTAAACGTGCAATTTCTAGAAATAATTAATTTCATATACAGAGATGAAATTTTGAAGCAAACGGAATTAACAAGCAAACTCGAAGGTGCATTTCTAAACGGTTTACGTTTTCAAAACCCTCAGATACGGTCAAAATTTTTTGAAATTTTAGATTCATCCATGCGTCGCAGACTTCATGATAGATTATTGTATATAATTTGTTCTCAAGCATGGGATACAATAGGTTCACATTATTGGATTAAGCAATGCATTGAATTACTAATTTTAACTGCCAATACTATGTCCCAAATCCAATGTTCAAATGAGGCGTATAAAATTCCTAGCATAACTTCAGTTATTCCCGCAAATACAACTGAAAACCAAGATAATTCATTTGTATCATTTCTCTCATCTCAATCGGAATCTTTTGAGATTGTTCAAAATGTGGATGACAAAGATGATGTATTCGACATTGATTTAAAACTGGAGTTTACTGCTGACCGACAAGAGGATAGCCATCAAATATTGCCAACCAGACGTGAAACTTTGGTTGAATTAGTGTATAAACAAGCAGAATTTTTAGAAGCTAATCGCAACATTAGGACTGATCAGCTTCTTGTCGCGACATCTCAACTGTGCCACGTTGATAGTCAGTTGGCCCAAAGTATTTGGTTATCTGTATTTCCTCGAATTTGGAGTATTTTTACAGAAGATCAAAGGTATAACATTACGAAGGAAATAATTCCTTTTCTATCGTCAGGAACTAATGTCAATCAGAAGGACTGTTCCCCAAGTACACTAAATACATTTGTTGAGAGTTTGACTAAATGCGTACCACCGATATATATTCCACCAAACGTACTGGCTTATTTAGGAAAATCTCATAATTTATGGCACAGAGCAATATTAGTAATGGAAGATATGACAGTAAATCAATCCAAGCGTAATAAAGACAACCGTGAAGATGTAGATATCAATTGTACAGAATTGGACACAGAACACTCAAGTAGTATATTTGACGCACTTTCAAATATGTATTCTGCCATGTATGAGGAAGATTTATGGGCAGGACTTTGGCTCAAATGCGCACACTATCCAGAAACAAATATAGCGGTTTCATATGAACAAATGGGATTTTTCGAAGAAGCCCAAGGAGCTTATGATTTGGCAATGACGAAATTTAAGCAAGATTTAAACAACGGCCTCGTTAATATGAATTTTAATAGCGAGTTGTCGTTGTGGGAAAACCATTGGATGCGGTGTGCTAAAGAATTGAACCAGTGGGACATTTTGTTAGACTATGCCCAGACCAATAAAGATAAAAATATGTTTCTTATTCTTGAGAGCTCTTGGCGCGTACCTGATTGGAATTTAATGAAAACAGCTTTATCAAAAACAGAACAATGCTATATAAAACAATATGGATTCAAGGTAAATCTTTACAAAGGATATTTGTGCCTTCTTCACCCAGATGAAAGACAAACTGGAAGTGTAGAGCGGTATGTGGAGATTGCGTCGAGCTTGTGCATTCGGGAGTGGCGTCGGTTGCCCCACATTGTTTCCCATATTCATTTGCCATTTCTTCAAGCTTCACAACAAATTATGGAACTTCATGAAGCAAGTCAAATACACCAAGGGCTCACCCAATCGCGCAATAATTCATTGCATGATATGAAAGCAATTGTGAAAACATGGCGAAATCGGCTTCCAATTATTTCTGATGATTTGTCACATTGGAGCGATATATTTACTTGGCGACAACATCATTATCAAATAATAACGCAACACCTGGAACAACAATCTGACCAAGGGAGCACAATGTTGGGAGTTCACGCGTCTGCACAAGCTATAATTTCTTTTGGAAAAATTGCTAGGAAGCACAACCTAACTGGTGTATGCCAGGAAACGTTATCCAGGATATATACAATTCCATCTGTTCCTATTGTGGATTGCTTTCAGGTAAACCCTTAAGAAATACTAGATTTTTATGACACTATGACACTTTTCTTTTATGACACCTTTTTTTCTATAAATTTTTGGCTTTTTATGGGTATTCAGGATAATATTCGTGAGAATGTGTGTAATAGGGAGAAGGGGGTCTTCGACCTTAAAAAGTATGTATGTATGTTCTCGAGACTAACAGAAACCATAAAGCATTGTCAATCTGTCTCTATAAGCCCATGGTTCTTGTTATTCTCTGAATTCAAGAGTCTCTACCCCCAGACATATGAAGTATGCACAAATTTGCCATGGCTCCTTGGAAGAATTAGTTGCGCCAGTTTGCAGGGGATTTATATACTTTTGGTCAAAAGCGATATAAAGTATTTATATTCTTGATCACGATCACATCCTAAGTCGATATAACTCTGTCCGTCTGTCTGTTTCTACGCGGAGTAGTTAGTTTTAAATCTATCGAATTCAAACTTTTCCTACTTCCTTTTTTCGGAACCGCCTAGATGATGCCGCATCAAAATAAAAGGTCGAATTTATGTAATTTTAAAACGTTATAAATGTTTATTCCTAGATGCAGATGAAGCCGGTTGATCAGCAGATATACCAGCTTATGGTGCAAGCAGGGACTTAAGTAATTGTACAGAGAGGGCGGCCCGACTAGTCATACGCGAAGCGGCCCGACCTAGATATTGCGGAGCTAAAACTCTCTAAAGAAAGGCCCGTTGAGTCGAGCGGCCGCGAGAGATTCGGCTTGTGACTTAGCGCTTTGTACAAACTTAAGCCTAAATAAATAAACATTACACTAAACATTAACATTAAACCGCTGTGCTGCTGCCTGACCCGACAGTTACTATAATTTTTTTTTTTAGTGTACCGACATGTCTAAATAAATTTTAATGACTATGTTTGGTCATTGAGATTTTACATAATTCCATTATTTACATCGACGCCGAATTAGGAATAAGGTCCCAGAAGAGGTATTCTGGCTTTCCTCCAACATTTTCTGGATGGCTGGGTACGTCCTTTACGGTATAATTTGTTGAACGATATTTGGTGAAACGCCCAAAATTTTTCCAGATTTATCAGAGAACTTCGCTGACATAGGCCTGAAATTTAAAAATTGGTTAAAAAATTGTTTTTTCCGTAATGTCATAATTATTCTCTAAACTTCCGAAACACTTCCGCGTGGTCCCTACGTCTTGTGCTTGAATGTAATATGGGTTTAGGCCCGTGTCGATAAAGGATTTCAGGGCTTGGCCGTTCCCCATAGTATTTGGTTCGTGCCGTGGGGTTGGGGTGGAGTGGCGGATTTTTATTTTTTTTTTGGATGGTAGTAAAGCTTTGGTCAAAAATTTTGTTTGGTCATTCGTGGTGGAGCTTGCGGGTACTAAATTATTTCTTCCGAAGTTTATGGTGCGCTTCCGAGTGTTCTGGATCTCTATTGTGTTGCAAAAATGTAGTGCACGGGCCATATCGTGGGGCTCTTTGATAGCTAAAATTGGGGAATGATTGCCGTCTTAGGCCTCTTACGAACGTATCTAGTGATTTTTCTCTATACAGTGCTGTTAAAAATTGCATGGATTCCTGAAACTCTCAATTTGTTTCAAAATTAAAGTGGTAAAAGGGCCTGGTAGAATTCAACTATCGAGCTGGTGCTGTGGTTAAGAGCTAGTGCCTAAATTTCTATCCTATAAACCCAATATAAACATGTGTTATATGATTCTAGGACATCATTTGCTTGTCGAACGCCAAGGCATGGGGACCCATTTTTATTGTCATACATTTTTACAACTCTTTCTACGCATTTCCTCGAAGATAAGATTTCAATTTTGTTCGTTGGCGATCTAGTTCTAGTTCGTTAGCTTTTCTTTCACCTGGGCGCAAGTTAAAAAATTATATAAACATACCATACTGTTAATTGTTTGGGTTTTTAATTAGATCATACAATTGTGATTGTTACGATTAAATCTAAACCTATATCATTAGTAGCTGGTCTATGTCATTAGTATCTGGTTTTGTTGTTGTAGCAGAAGTGCATTTCTTGGCTTCTAATTGGTCAGTGCAAGTGCATTATGTTTCTTTCGTTTGGATTTCCCACGATCTCTCGCGTAACCAGCGCCAGTAATTTTGCGCACGAGTCTTTCCGTGCCGTGAGACTCTTTTTGTTCGCACGGTATCTTGTAACGTTCGGAGCGTGGTGTAAACGGGTGGTTGCTTAAGCTTTGTCGATTCTTTTTTGTAAGAGCATTGCGCGTCTGGCTGGACTTAGCATTTTATTCGGTATTTATCATATTTGGCGCTAATTCGTTACTCATGAGGAAAGAATAATGGGGAAGTAAAGGAAGATTGAGTCGTTTCAATTTAGGGAGGGAGTGCTTAAAGGCCAGCGTTCTGCTAAGGATAATTAGCTAACAAAAAGGAAAAAAAAAATTATTGTTAGCGGTCTAACAATAACAGCGGTATTGTTGGGGTCATGGTAGCCAAGGCTCTGGTTGAATTAGCTTAAGTCAGACCCATGCCCATAGACGGACCGTAGGACCCCAAGTTGGTCATAAAAATACTTTATAGGGTCGTAGATGTCTCCTTCACTGCTTTGAATACTTTTGAACAAAATTATAATATCCTCTTCAAGGATATAAATATAATTAAATATCTTCTTCAAAATAGTTTGAAAAAATATATTTTTATTTGAGTTCCGGTTTTGATTCTTTAAAACTGCTTAGAATTTCAGAACAACTGCTTAGAATTTTAGAATTTCAGAACTAACTTATCTTTGGGGCTCTAAGTCCTTTTTATAGCTACCCTTGCTGAAGCTTTTTGCAGATCAAAGCTCGAAAGAAGCTTTTCTCTTTGAGAGGCTTTGTTTTCTGAAGAGAATAGATTGAGTCGGAACCTTTTACTTGAGGTGTCAGTTGACATGGAAGGCTTTGGGTCTCAATTAATCGAGGTGACAAGAAAATGTGAAATTTCCTGTGAAGTGGGTTTCCATTTAAGGCTGGTTTGAGCTGTTTAGTTTTAATTCACTTAAAAGGAGTGAGAAAGATTTGAGTCGGGATTTCTGTTTATCCAAATATTGTTTTGGTTTTCAATCTAAAGTGACTCTTAGAAATTGGAAATCTGAAATGAGGCTGTTTTCAGCCAAATTGGAATAATTAAATTTGTATGTTTTTACAAAAATTGGAATGAGGCTATTTGCAGCTGGGTTACGAATTTCAATACAAAAGCCTTCAGCTTCGGTTTACAAAATTTACTGATATACTCTTAAAGAAATTTTGTTGATATGTTACTTCCCCATCCTTAAGAATTTAGCCTGTCCTCAGACGCTTAGTTTGGCGTATGACTGTAGGTCATTTTCTTCATTTTCTATACTTTTAGTTTCTTCTTCGGGACTAATAACCTTTTGTTTTTTATAATTAATTATTATCCTTTTTGCGATGATCTTAAATTTATAAATCAAATATATGATTATAATAATAATTATTATTGCTAGTAGTATTAATAAAATTGTTTGGGTTGTAAAATATTGTTTTGAATGGTTTTGGCATATTTCTTTGGCTACGATATAGGATAAAGGTTCGAGTTTAGTTATGTTGTTGTTTACATAAATAGTTCGGGTGTAATCAAGCACAGTATTTGTTATTGTTACAACTTCTATTTGTATAGAACAGTTGAATGATTTTATTATAATGTTTCCTTCTGCTATTAGATCTTTATTTATACAATTCTGATTTAACAAAGTTTTTGCAAATTCCATGTTATTATTATGTTGGGTTCAATATAATTTAATTCGAAGTTCTTGTACATTTTTGTATATCTACATTCTGTATTTGTTTGTTTTATGAGACCTTTTATGCATTTATCATTTACTATTTCTTTTGTTTTTACTTTAGAGACTTGCTGATTTTATATGTAATATTTATGATGCAATGTTTCGGTTATTATATTCTGATTCTGATCCGGATACGGTAAAATTTTATAAATGGGGGTTTTAATAATAGTACGAGGAATATGAGAAATGATCAATATTTCGTTAGTATTAACTTGTAACCAAACGGATGTGTTGATATTTAACAATTTTTCTGAATTAATACGTTTAAGCGGGTTATGTTTTAGGAGCTTTGGGTTGAATATGCCTAATCTTGTAATTTCGATTTCTAGTGAGTGATTTTGTCAGTTACTTCAGTTCAGTTACTTGTGGTTATAGTTATTCTTACATCTTCTGATTGCAGCCAAAGTTGCAATGCTGAGCACATAAATGCGGAGTCTTTGTCGGCTTTTATTTTTTTTGGTTTACCCATTTCATTACATATCCATTAAATTTTTGCTTCTAACCAATCCCTACTGTTGACATTTATTATAGCAGCATATTTGGAATAAATATCAATGCAAGATAAGAATTGTTTATTATTGATCAAGTAACAATCTATAACATATTTTTCTCTGGGGTTAAAGGTTTCTGCGGTTAATTCAAATGTAAGTTTTGTATCTCTGTGTTCTGTTTTAGCAAGGCTACAAATTTCACACTCATTTATAATATTTTTAATTAATCTCTGATAATCGGGAAAACAATATTTTTTATTAAATAGGCTTGTTTCTTTTTCTATTCCTGGATGTAATAATTCTACGTGAGCTTTAAGGACAATTTCCTTGAATTCGGCGAATGTTTGGACATCTGTTAATATTGTACTGGGTTTCATAACTTTGGTTAAGTTATTTGGACTGATAATCTCTATATAAGCATTTTGAGATATTATTAAGTCCATTTCACAAGGAAAATAGATAACACTTTTTTGGAGCATAAATATTCTTTAATTAATTCTTTTTCATATTCATGGGTCATTTCTTTATACATTATTTTAAGGTTGGTTTTATGAAAGTATTGAGTCAATTTAACTTCATTTGAATTTCCTCTGTGAAATTCAATTTGTCTATTGTTATAGTTTAAAGGTCTTTCCTATATTTCTATATAATGCTGATTGTCTTCTTGTGCACTATGTACTGTTGCTATTGTGGGTAATTACTGGGTACTATCCGGTGATTCTCCTAAAAAATTTTCTTCTAGCTTTGCTCTTGACAAAGCATCAACTACCTGATTTTCCTTTCCCGGCATATATTTAATAGTGAAGTCAAACTCGTTTAATTTTATTCTACATCTTCTCCATCTTTATTCTCCATCTATGTAGTTTCATATTTGGTTCCTTTATATTATGAAGTCAAACTAATGGTCTATGATCGCTAAGAATTTCGAATTTTCTACCAAAGAGATAACCCTAAAATATTTAGTGGGCCAGACTATAGCCAGAAGATATTTTTCTATTGCTGAATAATTAATTTCGTGTTCATTAAGATTTCTACTAGCATAACAAATAGGTTTATGATTTTGTGATAATACTGCGCCTAGGGCGACATTGCCGACATTTCTTTTTGGGTTTTTGGTATTGATTCTTTTATTGCCTCAATTTTTTGGGGTTTGGCTTTATTCTTTCTGTTGTTATTATAAGGAATTCGGTTTCCTTTTTCAAAAACTCACATTTGTCAAGTTGAAGTTTAGGATTAGCTTCTAGAAGTTTTGAAAACAACTTTTTTATAGACAATATGTGTTCCTCTAATGAAGTAGAAAATATAATTATGTCATCCGTATAAACAAGGCAATGCTGGTATATTAAATCTTCTAATAAATTGTTCATGCAACGTTGGAAAGTTGCAGGCGCACTTTTCAGACCAAATGGCATTCGTTTGTATTCGTAATGTCCATTTTTAGTTGAAAAAGCTGTTTTTGAAATAGAATTTTCATCCATTTGAATTTGATGAAAACCCTTGGCAATGTCAATTGTTGTAAAATAGTGACACTTTCCAAGTTTGTCAAGTATTTCATCCATAACTGGTATCGGATACTTATCATCAATAGTTATTTCATGTAGACTTCGATATTCATTATTTGAAATTTATTATTTTCTTCAAATCCGCTCAAAGTGGCTGTTTCCTGTTTATAATTAATTATAGCTTCACATGCTTCTAAATACTCTCTTCCTATCAATATATCATATTTTTGGGAAAAATTGTGAACCCAAAATGGTTGGTCGATCGGACAAAGTTTACTTGACTTGAAATTTACGGACTTATTTAATTTAATTACACCATTAATTGTGTGCACTTCTGACGTTTTTAATGTTTGTGGGAAATTAAAATAATTTTCTTTTATTAGGTTGATTGAACTTCCTGTATCTATTAAACATTTAAATGGGCGATTGGTAATAGTTATTCTGATGTAAGGATTTGTATTTCTTCTTTTGGATCCGAGGCTATTTGATAAAAATTTTCCATTTCCATTTTAGATTGATCGCTTGAATATTCACGCTATCCTTTCACTGGTTTGTTATAATTAGTACCTTGTAAAGATGTTGGCTGTTGATAATTCATAGGATTTGAGTCTGGATTTCTGTTTACCCAAATATTGTTTTGGTTTTCAATCTGAAGCGACTCTAAGAAATTGGAAATCTGAAATGAGGCTATTTTCAGCCGAATTGGAATAATTAAATGCAGGGACCGTAACTATTATAATTTTTAAAATAAAAATTATAAAATGAAAATTATTTGTTGATTTTTATGACAAAAATTGAAATATAACTCTTATTTTCAATTTTTATAATAATTATTAAGAATACGAATTATTTTTCAATTTTTATAAAAAAAAAATAAAAATTATGATTCAATTTAAAAAAAAAAATTGAAAATAAGTGTTACTATTCAATTTTTTACGAAAAATTGAATGCTAATAACTTCTAATAATAACCGAGTGGACTATTAAAAAACCGCTTACACATTTATGATCTGTGGGGCAGTACCTGTATAAAGGTACCACTTAAAGGAAATAATCCAGGATTCCTCAATTATTATATTTATTTAGTTATATTTCTAGTGTGGGTCATCAGGGGTATATTGAAAATCAATGTCCAATACTATCGAGGCCACCGCATTGAAGTAAAGGCTCTTGGTGTGATTCAGCAGCATAAAAGGCATACGGGACTGAATTTAAGCATGAAAATTGAAAATGTGCTGAACGAGTTTTTAATAAGAAAGTAGCAAGTCTTCACTTCAGACAATGGCAAGAATGTCATTACCGCGATCGACTTCTTGAACCAAGAATTGAATTCTGAATATTGTGACGACCTTATGAAAAATATTCGCGTTCACTCTATACATTCGATTAGATGTGCCGCCCATTCCATGCAATTAGCTGTTCATGACCTGCTAAAAGAGAGGAGTCGGAGATTCCTTGTCGGCAGCGCACGATCCATAATGAAAACATTGCGAACTCCGACTCATAGGTAAACAAATAAAATGCATAACATTACACTTAAAAATTACAATACTATTTTAAAATTATGGATACATCCCCAACCTCTACTGGATGTGCCAACAAGGTGGATCTCAACGTACACTATGTTGAAAAACGTATGCGTATACAAGGAGTTTTCAGAAGAAAACCTTAGTGATACATTGCAGTTAACAGAATCAAATTGGGAGGAAATTAACTTGCTGTTAGCGGCACAAGAACCGATTTTTATAGCCACTCAAAAATTGCAAAGCGAACAATTATATTTCGGCGATTTTTTAAGCTTTGGCTTGAAACGAAGTTCATACAACAAATATTTCAATATAATCGAAAGAATTTTACATGGTTGGCCCACACTTGAAAATTTCTAGTAAAAATATAACTAAATAAATTGAATAATTGAGGAATCCTTAATTAAAACATTTTTAGGACCTGTTTTTTTTTTAATAAAGAGTAATATTGCCATTACCGATGCCGATTAAAAAATTTGTCTTCACATAATTCACATAATCGAGTCTTCCTTTTGTAATGAACACTGTTATTTATTGAACTATTAAGGAATCCTTGATTATGTCCTTTAGGGACATTTGACATAAATCATTTGAAAGGTACTGCGCCACAGATAATAAATATGTAATCGGTTTTTTAATAGTCCACTCGGTTAAGAAGTTATTCGCATGCAATTTTTATTTTCAATTTTTATAATAAAAATTGATCTTAACACTTATTTTTATTTTTTTTAATAAAAATTGAATCATAATTTTTATTTTTATTTATTTTATTAAAATTGAGAACTAATTCTTATTCTTAATTATTATACTATGCAGAGGGTATTATAATTTTGACCAAAAGTGTGCAACGCAGTGAAGGAGACATCTCCGACCCTATAAAGTATATATATTCTTGATCAGGATCACCTCCTGAGTTGATATGAGCATGTCTGTCTGTCCGTCTGTCCTTCTGTCTGTCTGTTTCTACGCGAACTAGTCTCTCAGTTTTAAAGCTATCGACTTGAAACTTTGCACACACTCTATCCCTTGCACGCAGTATATAAGTCGGAACGACCGGGATCGGCCAACTACATACTATAGCTGCCATATAACTGATTAATCGGAAATGGTATAACTTCGGTGTTTTTAGAGTTAGAGAGTTCAAATTTACATGAGCGCTATTTTTGGCAAAATAATACGACATGCCAAGTTTTGTAAGGATCGGCCGACTATATCCTATAGCTGCCAGCTTCAGCTTCTGTTTACAAAATTTACTGTTATACACTTAAAGAAATTTTTTTAATAAATAAATGGTATAAATAAAAATTAATATACAAATAAATATATAACATAAACATATGAATAATATAATAAGAAGAAATAATATAATATAATATAATATAACTACTAAAATTGTATTCGTTACACGTTTTTAGAAAATTCGCCAACAAGTAAAATGTTATCTTCAAATGCCATCGACATCTGGAAGAAACGAAATAAATGAAGCCCTGGAGGTTATAGAATCCACCAACTTAAAGTATTTCACTGGTGAAATGAATTCAGAATTTTATGCATTAAAAGGACTGTTATTGTCGCAAATCGGACGCGCTGAAGAAGCTGGAAAGTCTTTTAGTGCAGCAGTGCAGCTTCATGATGGTCTTACCAAAGCCTGGGCTATGTGGGGAGATTATATGGAACAAATGTTTCTTAAAGAAAAACAAATACCATTAGCGACAAATGCTTTAATATGTTATTTGCATGCATGTCGTAATCAAAATGAGAGCAAAACACGAAAATACATTGCAAAAGTTTTATGGTTCTTGTCATATGATACCCAAACTAACATTCTAATAAGCACTTTGGAAAAATATGTGTCTGGAATTCAACCATCTTACTGGTTACCGTGGATTCCTCAATTATTGTGTTGCTTGGAACAATTTGATGGCGATGTAATATTAAACCTGTTGAGTCAAGTAAGTAACAAAAAAAAAAAAGGAATTATTACGTCCATCAGATAGTACATTCATTTTAATCCAAGAATCTAAGAATTTTTTACGTCTTTAAAACTAGATAATCATAACATACTACATAAATGGAATTAGATGGAGTATTTTGTACTTTTCAGAAACCAAAAAACACAGAATTGTTGGCAAATAGCTTTTGCTCTATTGGGAGAGCGGGAGAATTATTTGTGAATGTTCTGATGATTAGTTATAAGTTATTTAGGCTTAGCGGGAATGCTGGACGTGGAGTTTTCCTAGTCATTGCGAAGTCAATTTATTATAGCGCATTATGGCGTTGTATAGATCCTGCCCTTTGTGTTCATATGTGATTTGTTGTATAGATCGCAGACTTGAAAAATGAATTGTGATTTACGTCAGTAAGATAAGTTTTGAAGAGGAGCTTCATATCGATGGCATTGTCAATTACAAACTTCTAGTTAATTTGTTACTAGCTTTTTAACTTTTGGAGGACATAACTAAATATGAATATAGACATATAAGGCGGACGCCATCTTTTAAGATTTTCAAGCCCCCGCTTATATTCATGACGATTTGTTTATCCAAATTTTCGCCCGAGAACATTTTCGTCCAAGAACATCAGCCCAGTACCGTAAATAAAAAAGTTTAAAACCAGTGGGAATGAAACTTCCGCATATGAGAACCACTGACCAACCTTTCACCTCTGTCAGAATACAAGGGGGCTACGTAGAAAAGTCCCTAACAATATTATAATAGTTCTCTCTTTGCATATTATAGCCTTTACGTAAAGTTGGTTTAAGCCGGATCTTTTGTTCCGAAGTTTTTCCAAGTAAGTACACCACTTTTAGACGTGATCGACCTCTGCGAAGAGAGGGTAGCGTCCTCATTTCGATAGACTCCCAACTTACTTCTAAAAAGGGTAAAATCAAAAGAGGGTTGTGATTTAGAAATTATTTGCATTAAAATCATTTTGTCCGCTAAATCTTTATACATTACATGTTCATATATACCGCCTTCGTCTGAACCGCCCACATACTAGCATCATTTGTACGCTATTTAATCCGTTTTCAATCTTATGACCGGTCGTGACCAGCTTGTAGCTCATAGTGACTTTAATATCCCAGAATTTAAGTGGTCTAATGTCGATAACTCCCGATCTTAATTATTTATTTCGCCAACGGATAAATCCTTACATGGTTACTGTTTGGTCATTGAGCGTTTTCAATGCCGTAAATAAAAAATCAGAATTTAATTAGGTTCAACGTTATAACTTTATTCAGGCCGCATATGAAATTAGGATTTATGAGGATTTATGGAGAATATGGGAAATCCAATTTAGGATGCGAGCGCAGTAAGGAGATGAACAAGAGTGGCGCCAACCTTTCAGAATAGGCTGAGTGGATGCTCGCTAACTTTAAACGCCGAATTAGCAAAGCCGAGCGGCCGAAAGAGAGTCGGCTTGCGACCAACAAAACATCAATTACTAATTAATTATTATGTTTAAATTAGTTGCTTGCGGCTTGACCCGACATTCTCCCCCCAGTTGGGGCTTCTACTCCAACTTCATCCTTAAGGGGCAAAAGGCACAGCTTAGTCAATGCTCGCTTGGTAATTCCAGATGAGGTTTTTATCACCGCCACTCGAAAGATACCATCCCGATCAGGGATTAGCTCCATTATTCTCGCAAGCGGCCATTTCATCGGAGGTAAATTCTCGTCCTTTACTAGCACCACATCATTGGGGCCAAGGCAGGACCGGAGGCGCGCCATTTGGCGCGCTGCTGGAGAAGGCTTAGGTACTCCTCCTTCCATCGGGACCAGAAAGACTGCTGCAGGAAAGACACGCGCTGCCAGCTGTCCAACCGGTTGAAGTTCAGCTTTGAAGCTGACTGACGGACCACCAGTTAAAAAATGAGCCGGGGTCAGAACATCAAGGTCTGCAGGATTTTCTGAAAGGGACAATAAGGGTCGTGAATTTATAACAGCCCCAATATGGCACAGCAGCGTTCGCAGCTCCTCGAATCCAAGAACTGCAGATCCGACAGCTCGGTAAAAATGGTGCTTGGCGGTTTTAACAGCCGCTTCCCACAGACCACCGAAATGCGGAGATCGAGGAGAATTAAAATGCCAATCGATGGACTCCATAGAGCAGAACTCCAGCAGTGCCCGTTGATGCTTTTCGCTTAGAAATAATCGGCGCAACTCCTTTAGCTCGTTTTTGGCTCCAACAAAGTTGGTTGCGTTGTCAGACCAAATATGTTGAGGCCTTCGGCGGGTGCATATAAAACGCTTCAAAGCCTGCAAAAAAGACCTTGTGGACAGATTCCTTACAAGTTCCAGGTGGACGGCTTTGGTAGCAAAACAAATGAAAATGCTAACTCTTTGCTCCGGGAGATCAGCCATAATGTGCTCCAACAGCCGAGGTTTCGTCCGGAAGCATCGGATGCATTTGTGTAATGCCTTCGTCACGGTTTTTCTCCCCCCAATTGGCCAATATTGGGACCGAATAATTGCCAACAGTGCGCGAGGTCCGGTATGTAAATTTCGCTCATGGAAGTCAACAATTATAGCCTGCATAACTGGATGGCTTCTTGGAAGTATAATTGGATGCTGACTATCAAAATCCAACGACGAATTTTTTAGCCGACCGTCTACGCGCAACAGTCCAAATTTGTCCAAGAAGGGAGAGGATGAGGCAAGGGCACTGGATACCGCTATGTCTTTTCCATTTTGAAGAGCCTTTATGTCCTCCCAAAAATGCACACGCTGAACTAGTCGCACTAACAGCTGTGTTCCAGATTTTATATCGCTTGCCGTAACACTGCTGTGGTGAATTCGTTGAGAGAACTTGTATACGTAAGCAAATACTCTCTGCAGTGCTGGAAACGAATTAGCGTACTTAGAAACCGCTGTTATATCCACGTACGGAGACTGAATGAGCAGGACCCTTGCACGTAACTCCAGGGTTGATCTCTCAGATGGGACCGCGGTTGGCCACGCCTCTTGGGATCCAATGAGAAACGGAGGACCGTGAGACCACAGCTTATTCCCAACCAATTCATTGGGAAGAGCACCATACGACAGGATATCTGCTGGGTTCAAAGAAGTGGGAACATACCGCCACTCCATATCTCTAGTTAGCTTTTGAATGGTCGAAACTCGATTGGCGACGAAAAAATTGAACCGAGAGGGTTCTTCTCGAATCCAAGACAGAGCCACAGCAGAATCGCACCAGCAAAAATACTTTCCAACGTAGACCTTCAACTGCTCTACTTCCGACATAAGTCGAGCCAACAACTCGGCTCCCGATAACTCCAGCTTCGGCACCGTAACAGTCTTTAACGGCGCAACTCGGGACTTCGAACAGAGTAAATAGCTTGCAGATCCTGCGCCCTTGGACACGACATAAACGCATGCCCCATACGCCTCAATGCTGGCGTCACAGAATCTATGGACGTCCACCTCGGATTTCGATGTTAGCACCCATCTAGGGAATTCGGCTCGCTGCGTACTAACAAAGCTGCTACAAATACCAGTCGCAGTGAAGAGCTTGAGGAAGACTTTCATCATAGGACAACTACTCAGGGCACAGCTTCTGGAGAAAGATCTTTGCCTTTGAAATTACAGGACCAACAAGGCCTAAGAGGTCATGAAGCCGAGCGACTGAAGAAAGCACAATGCGCCTAGTGGGCTTTGAGATTGACTGGATCCCTTCAAAAGAAAATAGCAAGCGGTCAGTTGCAGGATCCCAAGCAAGACCCAGTGTCTTTGTGAAGTTGCTGCCATCATCAAACCTTAGGAAAGACTCCCGAGCTTCTTCAGGCACCTTATCCAGCACGTCAGCAACATTGGAGCACCACTTCCTTAACCGAAAATGGCCTTGGCAAGGATCACGGATGTTTGGTGCATTATGCTAATAGCTTCATCTATAGAGTCGCCTCCGGAAAGCAGATCATCCACATAAAAGTCGCGACGCAGAATTTCGGCCCCCTTTGGAAACATTAATTGCTCATCATCTGCCAACTGATGCATTGTCCGAACTGCTAAAAATGAGGCATGCTTCGTTCCATAGGTGACCGTGTCCAGCTTAAAAACCTGTAACTCATCCTGGGTGGAATCCCGCCAAAGAATACACTGAAGATAGCTGTGCTCCGGGAGATCAGCCATAATGTGCTCCAACAGCCGAGGTTTAGTCCGGAAGCATCGGATGCATTTGTGTAATGCCTTCGTCACGGTTTTTCTCCCCCCAATTGGCCAATATTGGGACCGAATAATTGCCAACAGTGCGCGAGGTCCGGTATGTAAATTTCGCTCATGGAAGTCAACAATTATAGCCTGCGTAACTGGATGGCTTCTTGGTCTTCTTGGACCGTCTACGCGCAACAGTCCAAATTTGTCCAAGAAGGGAGAGGATGAGGCAAGGGCACTGGATACCGCTATGTCTTTTCCATTTTGAAGAGCCTTTATGTCCTCCCAAAAATGCACACGCTGAACTAGTCGCACTAACAGCTGTGTTCCAGATTTTATATCGCTTGCCGTAACACCGCTGTGGTGAATTCGTTGAGAGAACTTGTATACGTAAGCAAAAACTCTCTGCAGTGCTGGAAACTAATTAGCGTACTTAGAAACCGCTGTTATATCCACGTACGGAGACTGAATGAGCAGGACCCTTGCACGTAACTCCAGGGTTGATCTCTCAGATGGGACCTTGGGTGGCCACGCCTCTTGGGATCCAATGAGAAACGGATGACCGTGAGACCACAGCTTATTCCCCACCAATTCATTGGGAAGAGCACCACGCAACAGGATATCTGCTGGGTTCAAAGAAGTGGGAACATACCGCCACTCCATATCTCTAGTTAGCTTTTGAATGGTCGAAACTCGATTGGCGACGAAAACATTCAACCGAGATGGTTCTTCTCGAATCCAAGACAGAGCCACAGCAGAATCGCACCAGCAAAAATACTTTCCAACGTAGACCTTCAACTGCTC